CTATTACAGCCCTTAGAAAACAACAATGTTTTAATATATTGGTAAGAATTTCTTGTAATTAGTATTCAAGTGGTTATAATAAATTATTTTTTATATCGATGAAATTATTCTTTAAGAGCTCAAACCTTTCTCTGGTAGTTTGTTTTTATAATTATTCTACCTTGATTTTCTAAATCTTAGTTAACTTTATCTTAAATTATCATAAGCAAATTAATGGAGGCTAAAGTTATATTTTTTGATGTGTTTGAGTAGATTCAACTAATTTTTCTTGGATGCATTTTCAAACTATGAGCATCCTTGTGGGGAGCAACTCAGACTAGACTAAGTTACTGGAATTAAGACTTATTCTATGCATCTGCTCTCCCACAATATGGCGCTGGGAGAGGAGTAAACAACTTTTACACAGCTGCCTCCAGTTCAACCTATAACCTGCAGGAGCTGCTCCTGCTCCTGATTGGAGGAGAGCAGCGTACTCGGCGTGTGGGTAGCAGAGTTGGGATTGGTGAAGAGGACTATAAAGGAGGAGAGAGACAACGTGCACCAGGAACATCTAAAGGGAACATCCGGATAACATCTGAGCAGCCCCCGAGAAAGCCGGCCGGCGGTGTGCCGCTCCCCCTCGGAAGTGGGGAAAGTGGCAGGGGGAACCGCCCTTCCACGGAGGTGGAAGGATAGGTAGCCAACCCGGGAAGAACCAGCAGCAAACCTGGGAAGGGCCGAGCAGACAAAAGAACAGCGCAGGGTCCTGTGTCGTTCCTCCGCGAAGAGGGGGAGCGACACATCCTCTGTTTCATTGTTCTTGGTGTCCAAGCTAATAGTAGACCAATAATTTTTAGAAAAGAAATTAATTATATGACAGAACTATCTGTTCAGAAAATAGAAATCTCTTGGGTATTAAAGTTGGCTAGAACAGTGTTTTCAGAGTGATTTACGAAAACGAAGGTTCTGTGGTTTCCATTTCTGTTCAGTGGTTACTACTTTATCAAGTCTAAAAATGCTTCTGTTGTTAACAGGTAATTTTTCAGAATATTTCTACTTAGTCATCCTTAACTTTCATTAATGATAATTGGTGCCAGTATTTTGAGGCATTTAAAATACTACAAGGTGATATAAAGTGTTTAGGGCAGGCATTGTGGCACAGCAAGTTAAGCTGGACAATAGACACACATCTCACATTGGAGTATCTGAGTTAGAATTACAGCTAACTTTGGACCCAGCTTCCTGCTCCTGGGAAGCAGTAGATGATGGCTCGAGTACTTAGATCCCTACCACCCTCATGGGAGATCTGGATGGAGCTCTTGGCTCTTGGCTTTCTCCTGGCCAAACCCCAACTGTTGCATACCAGAGTCCAGTGCAGCCAGTCTAGGGGTTCCCAAGGGTGTGAGGGGTGTTGGTGCAGGAAGAAATGAGAGACACACTCACAGCAAGGCTGAAGGCATGGCTCTAGCTCTCAAACACCAGACTTTATTTTTATTTATTTTTTTTAAGATTTTTTAAATTTATTTTAAAGAGTTTCAGAGAGAGGTAGAGTCAGAGAGAGAGGTCTTCCATCTGCTGGTTCATTCCCCAGATGGCCACAATGGCCAGAGCTGCACTGATCTGAAGCCAGGAACCTGGATCTTCTTCCAGGTCTCCCATATGGGCACAGGCGCCCAAGGACTTGGGCCATTCTCCACTCCCGTATGGGGTGCCAGCGCTTTAGGCTAGGGCTTTAACCCTCCGTGCCACAGCGCTGGACCCCGGACTTTATTTTTATAGCGTAAGTCACATAATGATTCTTTCTTCTTAGAAGTCTGTTGTCCATTTTCTTAGAACCATTGACCTTGTATTTTATGTTGCCTCTAGATTCTAAGTCTACATCTAATTACAATTTCTTTGATTTTCAAGAGCATATTTGGAGCATGCATTACAATCACAGACAGGCACAAGACAATGGGCTGCCCACACAAGCCAAGGCCTGGAGTGCTGCCGAGCTATGCAGAAATTGATTACACAGCTAGAATAGTACCTTCCTAATCTCATCTTTACTAGAAGCCCCAGTGTTAAAAGCATGCCCTTTTTTAAATGTATCGCCTCTTTTGCAGTTCTTTCTGTAACTCTTTAATTTTTTATTGTACTTATCTAAAGGTTCACTTAGATCTATTCCACAGTTTTGACATCCTAACCATTGTATTTGTTGCACATATTGAATTAAAGCTTTAATAACATTTATCTTTGTTCTAGTGGGAAGTATACACCAGGGAGCCTGTTGCCTTTTAATTCTTATCCACAAACAGCTCAACCTTGTGTAAAGCATCAACCCCTTCTCCTACACTAACATTTGGCTTGATTAAAATTCTACAAAGCAATGTTCATTTTGAGGATTATGAGACTAAGAGCTCTTCCCTTAAAATTAAAAATACATCAATCATTAGCGGGACCACCAGGAAGCTCCGACTTTCTTCTATAGAGTGTAGTTCCCAACAAACCTAAAACCACCAAGAGGACCGAGGACTGTGGCTGTCATTCTCATGCCTTATTGAGACAGACCTTCTGCTGTGACCTTGTCAGCCAGCTTAAGTTGCCTTGGCCTCGCCAGTTGCAGGCATTTGGGAATGAACTATCAGATAAAAGATACCTCTCTTTCCTTCCCCGTCCTCCTTCTCTACTTCTGCCTTTCAAATACAATTTTTTAATTTTTTTTAAAAGAAAGAATGGTGCGTGCTTCAGTGGGTTGAGTCATCTGCAATGCCTCATCCCATATGACTGCTGCTTCCTGTACTGGCAGCTCCACTTCCAAGCCAGCTCCCTGTGAATGCACCTGGGGAAGCAGTAGAAAGATGACCCAAGAACTCGGGCCCCTGCACCCATGTAGGAGACCCAGACAGAGTTTTAGGCTCTTGGCTTGGGCTTGGCCCAGCCCCAGCCATTGCAGCTATTTGGGAAGTGAACCAGCAGTTGGATGATCTCCATCTCTTTCCTTCTCTGTCTGTAACTCTGCCATTAAAATAAATAACTCTTTTTTAATGGCATTTAAAATAAATAAGTGAATAAAATGTTCTAAAACAACACTTTGGTTTCATTTTAGTATGTTGTTATGGTCAAACAAAAACTTACTTTATTTCTCATGGGTGAGAACTCTCATGAAAATGAAAATCTTAGAGTTTGCATTGGCATAGCCACAGCTTAGATTGAAATAAGAGGTATAACACAGAACTAATAGGCTTACCACTTGGGATGCCCGCATCCTGTATTGGAGAGCCTGGGATGGAGTCTGGACTATTCTACTTCTGATCCAGCTCCCTAACACTGTGCACCCTGGAAGACAGCAGGTGTTGGCTTAAGTACTTGAGTCCCTGTCAACCACATGGGAGACTTGGATGGGGTTCCTGGCTCCTGAATTTGGCCTGGCCCAGCCAGGTTTGTTGTGGCCGTTTGGGAAGGGGAACAGTTAATGGAGGAGGGAGGAGGAGATCTCTCTCTCTCTCTCTGTCTCTCTCTCTCTCTCTCTCTGCATTTCAAGTAAAATAAGTGTGTTTTAAAAATGAAAAAGAGATAATAGGCTTGTCTAAAGAAGGAAGCCAATTATAATAAAATGAGAAAAATTCACTTGTAGTTTGTATTTTCCATGAATACCCAGTGGATCAGAAGCATTCTAATTATTCTAACATTTCAGAAGAAAATGAAATATAGCTCATTAAAACAACAAGGAAGGGCTGGGTTTTTCAACCTGCATAACTCACAGAAACAGCTTCCTCTATATTATTTCTGTCTCATTCTGTGATATGCTCCATGCAGCTGCTAAAATAGACTATCTTCTGGAAGGTAAATCTCACATGATTCAGACCACAGCTGTCAGTCTGGTGGAACAGATGGTTGGTCCTAGGTGAATTCTTATACCTTTGCATAAAGCCTTGGGATTCTATCAATAGATTATATCTTAAGTAACAGGAATCAGAATGACGAATTAATAGCAAAACTTTCATGCTTGTACCAAAACTGTGTGCTATGCATTCTTCCATTCAGCTATTCCTATCAAGTCAGAATTATTCTCTAAGTCATATGTATATGTACCCATAAATAATCTTTTCTTGATGGAAGCGCTGAGATTTGATTAGGTGAGAATTTAGTTCCACATCTGTTAGATTTGTATGTTGATGAGTTTTTTCATTGAAATTCATTATTTTTTCACATATAAAAGGAGTTTTTATTGTTTTTTTGTGTTGGATAGCTTGCAGCATTTTTGTTTGCTGCTTCATAGGGAGAAATGAAAGAGTAGAGTGAAAAGCAAGGAACTTTTTCAGTGTTATAGTCTACAGATTTTCCTCTTTGCTCTGTGCAGTCCGGGCTGACCCTAATAATTGTCCTGGGAAGCATTCACACGTTCATGCTTTCATAACTTTATTCAACACATAGTGTTGAGTGTGCTATTTGTAAATCACTTAAATACAGGGCATTGAGCAAAACAGTTTTTATGGAGCTTTGATTTTAGCAGGAAAGGCATTCAATAACAAATATCTGATTGATTATCTGGCAGCAGTTATAGTAAAGCATGGGAGAGTTTATAAAGGATGAAGTGGTCCAATCTTGGGGGAAATTGGGGAATGTGCAGAACTTTCCAATTTGTCACATGGAAGCTTGCAGGTCTGAATGGAAAGGGTGGCCTGGGCTAGAGTGTGTACCTGTGAGTGGAGGGGGATCTGGAAGGAGGGATAGAGCAGAAGGGAATCTGGTGACAGAAGACAGAGAGGGAACAGTGCTGTCCCCATTATGGTTGAGGTACCCACAGTCATGGAGGTAACTCTAAGTGTGATTTGTATCCACTTTTGTACATCCCAAAAGCTTGTTTTTGTTCAACATGTGTTAGACGATAAGCCATCCTTAAACAATTGCTTTGATGTCTGTTTATGGATTCTTTGTAATGAACTATTTTTGCATTTTCATTGAGGTATGTAGCAGTTTTACTCATGGAAGAAAGTTGCTGTTCATGCATCCAACAACAGTCTCTTTCTGTTTTCCAGCGTTCCCACCTTCCAGAGCCTTCCTGAAGAGATCCTCAGTAAGCTTGCTGACGTCCTTGAAGAGGTAATTGTTCTTCACTTTTTCCTTTTCACAAGGGCACACAGTCGGCTCTCCTGGCTTCTTTTATACCTACATGATGACAGATTGAGTTACAGATGGCAGAAGGATGTTTTAGTTTTTTAAAGCTCTGAAATGAGCTATATATATATATATATTAATATATAAGGCATTGAATAAAAAGCAGCTTAGCACATCCAACATTTTGTACACTGTTAGAAATGGGCAAATTAACACTAGAGGGAGAAAAACTCTGTTATAGTGAATATAATGTTACTGTAACTTTCTAGAGCGGGAGATGGCATGTTTATCTCTTGTTTTGATTTGTATAAAATACAGTTATTGCAGTTCTGAAGTTCCGCATTAGCACATTTATAATAGGAATTAGCAGTTGATTATGTATTTTATTAGCATATGAGAATATTTTACATACATAATCTTATGACAGGCTATGGAAGGTCACTGTTGGTATCTTTTCTTTGAACCCATGAACCATGGTTTTTGCGGAAGAAGACAGTGCCTTTTAGGCTATTGATTTGTAGGCTGCTCATTCAGATTCATGACTAAGCAGAAGCAGAGTGGAGTTCTTGTGAACAATCTGAGGGGCTCCAAGCCAAATGAAAAGCAGGTGAGTTTTTGTATCTGAAGTTGTTCATCTGAAGGTATTGGGCATTTGAGTTGTGTTCTAGCTTGAAAACAGTTAAAACTCGCCTGTTCTCTTTTGCTGAGGAAGCATAGACCATTGATGGGAAACCAAGAACAGGAATCATGAGCCAGGGGCAACTCAGGAAAGGTCAGGTTCATTCATTTTTTGTTGTTTGTTTATTCAGTACATTCCACTGAGTATCTCCTATAATCAGGCGCTCTTGAATCTAACAGTGAAGAATACATGCACGATCCTACAGCCATGGAGTTTACCTTTCAGAAAGGGGGATTGATATTAATCAACCAGTGTGTGAAAATGGTGAATTAAAATTATAGTACAAGCCAGTAAGTAAAATATGAGCTGCAAAGACCCATAAAGCGGAACTAATTTAGTCTGTGGTGGGCTTGGGGAGGGGGGAGGTAAGGAAAGATTCTGATGGAATATTTTGAACTTAGCTCTGCAAAGGCAATAGGAGTTGGCTATAGGAAAGGAGGTTATTATTAGAAGGAACCAAATGGGTAAATACTCTGAGAATGGAGGCTGGAAGGCAGAATGTGCCTGGAGATGAGATCAGGCGGGGCCTGGTAGGTCCAGGGAGATTCTTTGATTTCTTTCTGTTTGCCAGGGAAAGACTTTAAAGGCTTCTAAGCCTGGGGGAATGGAAGTAGAGGCAGGATCAGATAAAGAGACTTTTAAGGAGTATTCCAAAAGGAGGCTTAATTGGCTAAGTGGAAGTGAAATGAGATGCAAATGATCAGCCTTGGGGCAGAGGCTGGTTTAGGAATGTGCTGCCTCACTGGAGTCTTATTTTCAGATAAATTTTCCTTATTGCCTTCTTAGAATCCAGACTTCATATGGGTTGTTTTTTATATCTATTATATAATTAGTTGTTGAAAGCCTACAGTGTTCCAGCCCTCTTGGCATGTGGCAGTGAAAACAGGTACTCTTGGCATGTGGCAGTGAAAACAAAAAATCCCTGACTTAATGGAGTTTACATTATTTAGGTATGGCCCAAATGGAAGCTAGATAGAAAACAAAGTGAATAATTTTTAGTGGTATATGGCATATTCTGTAGAGGTGATACAGAGAAGAATTTAAGCAATGAAGAGTAGGGAGAGTTGGGGATACTAATATCTTAGGTAGAGTTGTCAGTTGAGTAAAGAGGTGAGGGATTGTGTGGCCAAGGAAAGAGGAAGAGTGTTCCTGGCAAGGTCAAGGAATAATCAAGTGTTCTTTGAGATGGGATTGGAGTTCAGAGGTCAGAGTAAGGTGTGCCCAGAGTGGTGTAGGGGCAGTCAGATCATGGAAGGTCTTTAAGCCACTCTGCTGTGGCTTTTACTGAGAGTGAGATGGAAGCCATTGGATGATTACAGATGGAGCAACGAAGTTATTTGCTTACATTTCTAACAAAGTTACTGTGGCTTCCTTGATGAGAGAAGACCAAGATGGCTGTCACAGTAATCCAGGGAGAAATGATAATGGCTTTGTGCACAGTGACAAAAGGAGTTTGAGAAATGGTCTAATTCTAAAGATAATGTGAAGGTAAAACTGAAATGCTTTACTGTTGGGAAACACGTGTGGAATCAGGAAGGGAGGAATCAAAGATTACCTCAAGACTGCTGAGCTGAATAACTGGAAGGAAGAATGGAAGAAAAAGTACATGGGAGTGAAGAGACATAGGATATGGGGAAACCAGAAGCTTAGTCTTCTTGGGCAGGTAGGTGGTGTCTGTGGCAGGAAAATGTTGATCTGCTGGGAGTCATTCTGCAGGACCCAATGTGGATGAATACTAAACAGAAACTTGAAGCAGGTAGCAGCCAATGATTACTGTAACAGCATGAATAAATCTTAAAACCATAGTGCTGACGGAAAAACTTGAAACCAAAAAACATGAGGTAATTACTGAAATATCATCTACATCTGTTAAAACATAAACACATAAGTACATTTTTCCAGTGTATGAGTATAATACAAATTGGATACACGTGAGTGGTTGTGGCAGAATTGTAAAGGGAGAATAATGGGGACAAAAAGGGAGTGAATGGATGGTGGATGGATGGGTGAGTGGATGATAAAGGGGCATGCAGTAAACCTTGATTAATCTTTGACTTTCCTCTTTAAGAGAGTGGAGAGTAAAGAATAAGCAGTGGGGTGGGGGGGGGGGGAGACCAGAAATTTAGTGCCTTAAAATACAGGAGAAGAAGGCGGCTCAAGGGAAGAGTCAGCAAGATTTTGATTTTGGTTTTGATTCTGTTAAAAAGGCAAGAGGAGAAATGGAATTGGAAGGAGGGAAGGAAATGGGAGTCTAGAAGGGGACAGGAAATAATACTGAGGCAGGAGGCAGGAAGTTGCACACAGCTACTCCAGTAAGCACAAGATATTAAGGCTTCCAGTGCACAGAGAAGCAGAGAAGTCAAAGTATCTGGGTGCACACACAGATGGGTGGTCTGATGCAGAAGTTGGTGCAGTGGAAAACCTGTTTGTTAATATTTATTTATCTGAAAGGCAGAGTGATACAACATGTGCTTGCATGTGCTGGCTCATGCCCTAAATGCCCACAACAGCTGAGGCTGGGCCAGGCTGAAATCAGGAACTCCAGAAGTGGGTGATAGGTACCTAAGTACTTGGACCATCATTTGCTACCACCCAGGATGTACAGAGTAGCTGGGACCCAGACTGGCACCCAGATATACCTGTTTAGATAACTTCTGTTTCTTTAGTGACATAAAAAGCAAAGGCACTAATGAGGTTGGGATGGAGAACTGTGAATAGTTTGAGTAAAGAGAAGGTGTGAGAAAAATGGAAGAGCAAACTGACTAGGGAAATGTGTTTTGATTATCAAGCATTATTAAGGCCTCACTAGAAGCTAACAACTCCAAATCTAAATTAAGTGGGCAAGCAAGAGGTTATTCAATATTATTGCAACAGAGGAAAGAGGTTGAGGTTGAAGTCAACTCTATAGATCAGAAGGTAGGAGGGGATTTAAATAAGGGGGTGAGTTTGTTGAGAATTACTGCAGGATGACCCCAGGAAGGACACTTTAGGAGGGAGGAGGTTATTGGGTGTTGATTAGGCCCTTGTGCTTGCTAATTGTCTGTCCACTGGGGAAATGAGGCTTCTATCCTCCCCCAGATACTGGGAGAAAAGAAAGTCCAAGTCTTCCCATGGTTACATTTCAAAGGAATGACTAGAGGAAGTCAAAAACTGGTAGATTTACATCTCAAAAAGGACGATAAAGATTTTATAACTGAAAATTTTCTTAACTAAGTGTTCTAATAAAAGGGTTGAGTCAGGAGGAAATCTGTAGAGTTGAGTCAAACTGAGGGGCAAGTTAAACCTGTCTTGTCCCCATCCCATTTGATTTGTGTGTGTGTGTGTGTGTATGTATTTGTGTGTCCAGCCTCCTTTGTTTGTCTGGGTTTAGACTGTAGATAGCCAGAGAATTTGATTTAATACTAGGATTGCTGTTTTGCCAAGAGAAGAGAATTGAAAGTCGGGGTTGCTTATGAAAGAGTGATTATAATGACTGATCCCTGGAATTTAAATTGACCAAGGAGGACAGGGCCACCAAAATGGGAAAAAGCCAGTGAGAGGGTATGGGATCTCTGGACTTGAGTTGCATGAGGTTAAAGAATTTTTGGAGTTGGACTGTGAGAATGAGTGAACCGGAAGGATAGTGAAAATGTTTTTGTCTCTAGGTGTGAACTATGCCAATGACTCTGTGATCCATAAACAAATTCTTACTTTGAGGCTATTTGAAGTTAGCTTTCCTATGATTTATTGATATCCTTCATCTCCTATGTGACCACAAAATGAAGGACTACATTGTCACATTTGACTTCTGTATTCAAGTGTAAAAAAATTAATGAGAAAAAATGCTGGCTGTATTTCTCTCTGAATTCACTGACCTGCAACCTCTGTAAATGTAAAACTGCTTTTCCCAGTTGGTTGTATGATTTTTGCTGTTTTATGTTGTTTTGTTGGATATACTGAAGAGTTCTGTCATGACCTCGTAGGTTTTTTAAAAACTAAATCAAACTGAAGCACACATATATTAGCCCCCAATGAACCCCCTACAAAAAAACTAAAAGCCCATGAAATCCTTTAATCATTTTCTTTGTTTTCCACATCATTGAAAGCATTTGCTATGTTTTCGGTAGCCGTAGCCATAGCTTTATAAGTAATTCCAACCAACGAATTATCTTAGTAGTTTATGTCAGATTTTGTAATCAGAGATGCCTTAATTTATGCTTGGATTCTTTGAGCCATAGCACATTGTATACAAATGCTGAATGAAGATCGAAACAGAATATTAAGTGCCTACATTACTTGTTTTCTGGACATAAAAGTGAAGCAAACA